AGAGAGAGAGAGAGTTTGTGTATGTGTGTGTGTGTGTGTGTGTGTGTGAGAGAGAGAGAGAGAGACAAAGAGAGAGACAAAGAGAGAGACAAAGAGAGAGAGAGAGAGAGAGAGAGAGAGAGAGAGAGAGAGAGAGAGAGAGCAAAAAGGGGGGAGGGGAAAAATTGTGAGTTTGTGAAGGGAGAAAACAACATGAAGATAGGCAGGAGCCCTTTATCTTGCCAACCAGCAAGATAGATAGGTTAGATAGATAGATCAATCAATTGATAAACAGATTAAGAGTGTACAAGTGTATACTTGGATTTTTTGTTTCCTCGGTGGTAAATACCTGTGTGCATGTGAACTTGCCAAATTATAATAAATATTATCATAATTTAACGCCCCTTGCTATGCTGTTTATGATGCGAGACTTCCGAAGCTAACGCTCATATCCGATACGACCCAGCCAAGCTAGAACATTAAAATTTTTGTAAAGCATGCCTTTCCCCAACGTCGATTCGTCCTGAACCTTCAGCTCATGGATCCAAAATCTCACGATTACAAGTCGACAGGAGCCCTTTATCTTGCCAACCAGAAAGATAGATAGCTTAGTAGTTAGATAGATCAATCAATTGATAAACAGATTATAAGTGTACACGTGTATACCTAGATGTTTTGTTTCCTAGGTGGTAAATACCTGTGTGCAGCCTGCCCACTATAGACTACAGACGGATCATTATGTGTGCATGCGGTAGAGTTTGTACAAGGACACCCAACAATATGACATTGAAGAAAAATGTCCCCAGACAAAAACAACAATGATAACCAATGACGTCTTGGGGTTGAAGATGAACTATTGAGGAGGAAGCCAACTCGTGTATGAGGAAAATAATTTATTATACTTTTACTAAGTATCTTACGGTACATCATAATACTCTAGGGGAAATGAATTGTTTGTGTTTGGAACATCTCCTATTTAAACTGAAAAGACACAGAATGAACTTATAAAAAGAAGTAGGTAAAATAAAAAAGATAATCCAGATTTTGAAAGACAAGCAACTAGACCTGGAGTCTGCGACCTTAAATAATGTTGTATAAATATCTAAGACACAATTTGCACTGAAGGCAGAGCCCTTGATCAAAAGAGGGACAACTCAGCTCTTATTCTTTGGCTCGACGTGCAGGGGGAGCAACTCCCGTGTTCTTATCTCTTCCCCGTCACCCAGGATCAGCATCCTCGTTTGCACTGGCTAATTTGCGAGGTTTTGTCGTGTTTGTCTCTATTCCTCGCAGCAGTTCAAAACCTAGGGTTACGTTGCTAAACTTGAATTTGTTAAAGTGGGTGGGCTATTGTTATTCTTTATTAACAAAGTCAGTTTCTAGATTTAGAATGATTTTAGTTGTTGTCGATTCCTCCAATTTAAACAACT